GCTGAGCCCCTGTTTTTGTTGTAGAAATATGAGTAAAAGAAGGGGCGGAACCCCTGTTTTTGTTATAGAAAAAAAGAAAGCATGAACAAAAACCTCAAAAATGGTATGTTTTTGTTCCAGAAGAAGAAAAAGAAGGGGCGAAGGCCCTGCTTTTTTGTTCTAGGGGTGGAGCTGAGCCTCTGTTTTGCTCCAAAATAAAAGAAGGGGCGGAACCCCTGTTTTTGTTCCAAAATACAAAGAAAAAAAATAAAAAGAAAAAGAGGAACCCCTGTTTTTGCTCCAGAAGAGAAGAGGAACCCCTGTTGATTTCCCTTGTTCCTTCAAAGACTTCAAAAGTTCAAATAACTATTCCTGTTTCTTCAATCTTTGAATAGCTATCAAAACCCTATTGACATAAGAAACTAATAAAAAAACATATTATTTTATGAAAGAAATAAAAGAATGATTCAATGTATCATACTTATCATAATATAATAAGCTCAAACTATAAAAAATATAAGAAAAATTATAAAACTTGAAGACTCTATATACATGTTGCTGCCAAATCTGGAGCCAAGGGTAGCTTGGTAACTTCCGAGGTCCAAAGGCCGAGGGTCCCACCTGCTAAGAGTGAAAAGACGTCAGAGGCCCTGAGAGTGTTCCCAGGGGTGAGGACTCTGATGGTTAGGTCAGCCGAGGGCTTTAAGGAAAGCCGAGGTCACAAGAGTGTAATAATTAGCTCAAGTGTGCGTAAGTGCACCTATAGGCTGTGGTTCTCCTTTTATAGTTGGAATTGCCTGGGAGAGGAGTGATGAGCAGTGAGTAACCGTTCTGTGAATTGCGGTCACAAAGAGGGCAGCCAGAGAGGCATCATCTGATGATCACTATCCCTTCATAAGTGTGTCAGGAGTAAATGCTCCAAGAACATGGTGCCCGCAATAAATGCTCCCACAGTAGTGTTTCGTGGGAGTTGCCCTGTTGCCCTTGGATGAGTGCAGAATGATGGGGGTACCCTTGGGCAGTGCCATGTGTGAATATCTGGTGCATTGACCGAATATGCCTACATCAATATAAATGCCATAACATTTAGGTGAGGTGAGCCCCAAAAAGCTCCTAGACGCCTAGCCATCGCCTTGACAACTATGCCCAAACTCAAGGCACAATCATTTCAGCAACGTTTTTCCCCCAAAAAAAATGGTTTGCTAGATGCAATTAAATGTTGTTTTTGTTTTTTTCATCATTGTGGCAAGTTGGTGGAACTGAATGCTTGTAAAATGCATCAGTGCCAAACACATACCTAGTTGCTGGGATGTTTGAGTACTTCACTTCTCAAAAGGGTAACTGGAAGTACTGCTAGAGAGATTGAAATTCTTGGGGCATATTAGAACCATGCCACTTTATTCTTGCCTCAACATTTAGAACATTGTTGCTATATATCATCATCTAAGTAATTTATACACGTGTACAATCTGTGAAGTTTGAACAATGGTCCATTGTGTTAGTCTAGTAATATCACCTAGTTGGTTGAAAAATGCAATGGTAATAAAACAAGAATGAGGTTCTTTGAGTTTTTATTTCTCCCTTTTGGTATCTATATGAATTTGATGTCAAAAGTATCCAATATCCCGCTTTGTTTTGGAATAATTGTGAATCCAATGTGAGAATAATAATATAGTAGGATGTAAAAGAGCCATTGGATAATTACTGTTGGTAGGAGGATAGAGGTTTCAAGGGAAAGTTCTACTTTCAAGCACAATTTTCTGACCTTGGGGATTCTCAGCTAACTAGATATCAGTTAAGCAGATAATATATGGTACATCAGAAGAGTAGGAAATAATTATGACTTGTCAGTAGATTGGATGTTGCCAGTCACCAAAGGTAACAAAGGCAGATTTAACAACCCTCTCAAGGAGAGAGGAGGGTGGGGGAGAAAAGAAAAAAAGAAGTGGTATTCTAGTTGTCTGACCTGGTCTAGAAATAGATTTGATTGCCTTAAGAGAAGTTTCCAGCTAAGTGGATCCACATATTTAGAAGTTTTGATTGATTATAGGGCCAATGCATTTTATGTAAGTAGACTAGTAACTACTATGTAGTCACCGTGAACTCTTTTCTATGGTTACAATGGTAAATATCAAAGAATAGGGATATGGTTTTGTAAACCATCATTAATCACATTTCTTTTTCCTCATTGCAACTTTTTTAAGTATTAGCTATTTATAGTTAACACCAATGTTGTCAGACCCAGACCAAAAATAAACTGTTTTGGTGACTGGGTCATGGGTTGAATGGGCGAACTAGTGGTTTGAGCCAGTGACCTGTGACATCATACTTAAATTAAATATATATTATGTATTATATAATAAGGACATATATTAAATAATAGCCTGATAGCTGTTGCCTTTTATGTTTGT